CCCCCCCCCCCCCCCAAAAAAAAAAAAAGGTCAGCAGTGAGAAACTTAACAATTATTTTTCAATTTTTCAAAACAGGTGATCCTGGCTTGCGTTTATTGCTCTGGCATTGCCGCATCCGCACTTCTCAGATCAGATTACGATGACTTATGCTCGTCTGACAAGGCCTGCGAATCTGGATTCCAGTGCATCAACAAAATGTGCATTGAACTTTGTCTAGAGCAGAGTCTTTGTCACCCATCAGCTCGGTGCTACGTACTGAGCACCAAGCCCGTGAGGACCATGATTTGTCTGTGTCCACCGGGAACAGTCACTGTCAAGCAGGACGGAAGTTGTATCACAGCCTGAGACTAATTTAGCAACAACAACAAAAAAAATACATGTGCATGTTCGAGGGGAATTGAAGGAACAACAAGAAAAAATAAGGCTCAGCATTTATACACTATACTCTTTCAGGTCATTTCGGAAGCCAGCACACAGTTGTATATTCATACATACTGTATGAATCAAACTTCTTAATTCTTTGTCACGCGCCAGCACACAGAGAGACTGTGCCATATATTGTTTTAAAAAATGTATAGAGAGTTCTCTCCTCTATATTTGGATTGGAAATACAGTGCTTGGCATTTTATCGATGCATTTTGGTTCATGTCAATCCTTAATCGAAACGTGAATTTTATGTATCTTTTTCAGATTATTTTAATCTGCCAAAAATTCAGCTTCCTGATGGGCGCTCTGTGGCAGATAGGGCACAGCATAAACCATCAATCATATGTACGAAGTATTTGCTACACTTGGACTTGGTTATGAAAATGTTTATCAAATACCAAATGAAAATAAGAAAAACATAGTATTGCGGGGACTTGAGCAGCGAACCTGATATTAGTTCCCACTTCCCAGTGCTGTGCATGGTTTGTTGGAACAAGGAATTTATTCAGTAAAACATGGATATTCCCATTTGTAACGCGTCTTTGTCTTATGATAAATTATCTAATTGCTTCCATGCAGCATCAAAAGAAAATCGAAGTAATGTACAGAAAAGGAAATCAGTAGGACACACTTGACACAAAAAACAGAAACACAAAGATTTATTATCAAATAATGAATAATTTATTATATTTGGTAGCAGCAAAATTAGAAGCACCAAATGAATTTGAATTTTTTACGATTTTAAATTTACATTCCAATTTCTGTTTACATTCTTCTTTATCAAAATATACACCAACAAAAAAGGTAATGTTTCAATATTTTAGAAATGTTTGATTGAAAAATGTTTTTTCTTTCTATCTGCATAGATTGCTCAGATCACATCTTCCCATAGACTTCAATGTAACTTATTCAATTACAGTTCATCAAAAATTCATGAACTGGTTCTCCAGTTCATCAAAAATTAAGGAATAAATACTCAAAAATAGAAAATAAAAATTTATGGACTTCAAGATAAAAGAGTCTGTGCAAAAGAAAACCACACCAAATTTATCTGACATTTTGGCATCAAAAGGACCCCAAAAGCAAAGGAAAATTACAAGTTTTGCTATACTGTGCACATATGACAGAGAATATACAGTACATGCACTTCAAAAATAAGAAGCCCAAAATTAATCTGTTTTTGATGATAAATTTGAGTAAATGTTATCATGAAATTAATTTTTATTTTTGTGAATATTTGAATAGATCAATATGTTCAAGGAATATCCAATTAAATTTTGAAGAATAAAAATTTCCCATTTTTCTACACAATGTTGGAAAAATGTTAGTATTATAAGACACTGTCCGGATGTTGATGCAGGGTTTTCAAAGTTTCAAGTGTTCCAAAGTCAAATCGTCCGTATATGTCAGGCTCTCATCCGTAATGCCCAACCCACTATTATGTGCAGTGCGACAAAGAAAACCCCAAAAATAAGGTTTGCAAAAAAAAAAAACGGCGCTATATACATTCAGAAAATGTCACTGAGTTGTACCCGGACCATTTAGTGCCGAGTTCCGATGGCATTTCTCACTCATTTACTATCTTGGGGTACGTTGTATTGCCACACTCAGAAATAAGTAGCCAAGTTCTGGCGCCGGTAAAATTGACGCGTTCTTATATTCCGCTCACGTCTCAAGGGCGATTTCCAGCAATGGCAACGTCTCAGCCACGCCCAAGTCCGCGGAGGGAGAACCCGCTTTTATGACTGCTGTCCAGGCGCCGTACACACATCCAAGTCCCAGGAACATTTCTACCAAATATTTCAACACTTTCAAACCATGCACATCTTTTATAACGTGGTTGCGAATGTCAGAGAAAAATTTATCTCACCTGGCTGTTCCAATTTACAGTTGACGCCTCTCCAAAATAAAAATAAAAAATGAACTTGCCAAAAAAGCTCCAGAACAACTGGAGTCCCTGATTTTGCGTGCATTTCCAACAAAATGGTCAGAACTTGTGCAGGTAGTACCTCGCAATTCAACCCTGATCTGCTGCAGAACTAGGGTCAAATTTGAAATAAGTCAAATTTCAAGACACACCATTAAATTCAAAATACAGTTTGAGTACAAAACCACAACAACAAAATGGAAAAAGC